AACCACTTTGTAATGAGAGAGAAAGGAAATCTTCCATTCGCACGAGGAGCTCTGCTGTTTGTTCTATCTTTCACTTCCCCTTTTTTTTCCGTTTCTTTAAGTCTCTTAAAATGTTTTATGTTGTCTCTTGTCCTTTGTTATTTCGGATTCTTATCGGCAATCCAGACCAGATTACTACCGGTAGTCTGAATCGGACCTTTCGTTTTTCAATTTTCAATTCCAATTCCAATTCCAATTCCAATTCCAATTTCAATTTCAATTGCAATTTCAAATTAATCCTTTTCACCTTTTGGCAGAACCGGATCTTTCATTTCAATTTCAATTTCAATTTCTCAAAATAATTGCTTTCACTTATTTTCGGCAATTTTTCGCTTTCGGAGCCTTCTTTTTTTTTTCATTTTAACCAGCAGAGCCTCCTTCTTTTTTCATTTAAACCAGCTCTGCAATCTGGCACATTGATCTGTACGTGGCACAACCCCAACCTACCCGTAGCCATTGCCCGAACTTCCACTCGGCCAGTCCAGCAAGCCCACTCTTTCTTGCCCCCAGCACGTGCGCACACAGCACTGCCCTGCATCCCAGGCTGCAATGCTCTCCTCTTGTCTGACGAGGAAGAAGCACAGTGCGGATATCCTGTGTTGCCATAGTTCGTTGGGAACCGCAGCACAGTGTGGAAAAGGCTCTCGAGCTACTCGGTCTATGGTGAAGGTTCATGAATCCCGAGGGAAGCAGACGGCAGAGGGCGTCATGCAGGGGGGGGGGGGAGGATATCCCTCATCACATGAAGACATAATCGTCCTTCGACCGTTGTCACAGATCAGCAATAGAAAAGCCATGTGTCAACGACTTATTCAATGACACGATGGATCGCTCTGCCAAATGCGCATCTTCTTCTTCGCCTTCTTTCTCTCTCGGACCTCTTCCTTTCCCTCGTCTTCCTTTCCGTTCCCCTGTCCCTCTTCCTTTTTTTTCCCCATTTGTCAAGAGCAAACAAAGGAAGGTAGTGATAGCTTGTGCGTAGGTGAATGTTCGCAAAGGCTAGTTCAGGAGAGAGTCGAAATGACTGCAATAGGGGATCGAAGAGGGAAAAAAAGGAGAGAGAGAGAGAGAGAGAGAGAGAAGAAACCTCTCCCTTATCTATATCTCAATATAGAAAGGAGAGCAGCATGGGGAAGAAGAAGATGACATGAGGGCAATGCTGAAGGCTTTGCAATGCCACCAAGGGAGGAAGAGAAGAGGGAGAAAGAACGGGACAGAGGAAGGGACAGAGGAAGGGACAGAGGGTGGAACAGAAGAAAGAGCAGAGGAAGGGGGTTAAGTGAGAGCTTATGCTACCGGCCGATAAAGAACTTGCAAGGCAGAAGAAATGAAGAAGGTAAGTCGCACCATAAGCCAAACCAGCAGCAGCAAGAAGAAGAAGGAGAAGAAGAAAAAGAACAAAAAGAAAAACAAGAAGAAGAGGGGGAAAGAGGAGGAGGAGGAGGAGGAGGAGGAGGAGGAGGGGAAGAAGAAGAAACGAGGGAAAGAGGAAAGGGGGGAGGCAGAAAGTGGGGCGGAAGGGGGAAGAAAGAAGAAGAAGAAGAATAGTGGAATAGTGGCTGGTACTCGGATCTCTCTTAGTATCTGCAACTCCGCAAACCCTTGCCACTGAGGAACCTTGGCGCAAGACGAAGACGAAGACGAAGAGGATGAAGTAAGAGCGAGGAGAAACAACGTAATGCTGGTAATGATAGTGATGATCGTGCGTACAGCGAGCGCGCATGTGCATATCAGTTATAAACCCTGAAACAGAGTTCGAACTTGGGGCATACATTTTCTGAAGCTTGGAACTTCCGTGGCGCCAAGTGAAAGAAGAGGAGGAAGAAACGGAGAGAGGAGGAACAAAAGAGAGAGAGAGAGAGAGAGAGAGATGGAGAGTATGATGGACATCCTGCTTTATTACCTCTTCGTCAAAAAAAAAAGCTTTGCGAAGCTTTCGCTTCTTTACCTTCGGAGCAAAGACTTCTGTGGCCCGCGTTCAGACACTAGATCATCGTAGAAGAGACGGCGACGTTAATCATGGGATAAATGTGCGGAAGCTACCAGGAGCAGAATGAGGAAGGAGCGCGTGCGACAACAGCAGTAAAACGTAAGGACGGGAAAAAAACTTCTTCTCAAATGGAAGAACAGACAATCAGCACAAGTACGCCCCCCAAGTCACGCGCAAACGACCATCCCTTCACGAGAGAAGAAGCGGAGCGAGGGGAGGGAAATTGCACGCAATACAAAGAAGAAGAAGAAGAAGAAGAAGAAGAAGAAGAAGAAGAAGAAGAAGAAGAAGAAGAAGAAGAAGAAGAAGAAGAAGCACGTCAGGGAAGAGGAGAGAAGGTGTGGAAGAGGGGGCCATTTGCCAACACCAAGGGGCAAGGGGACAGCTGAGGAATAGAGGAGAGGAGGAGAGTAGAGGAGGAAAGGAGGGAGACGAGAAGAGGGAGCGGAGGAGGAGACGAGGGAGAGGAAGAGAGGAGGGAGAGGAAGAGAGGAGGGAGAGGAGGAGAGGAGGAGAGAAGGGGGGAAAGGAGGAGAGGAGGAGATAATGGAGGCGACAGGAGGAGACGAGGACAGGACGACGAGGGGAGAAGAGGACGAGAGGAGGAGAAGAGAAGCAGAAGAGGAGAGGGAAGAGGAGGAGAGGCAGAGAGGAGAAGAGAAGAAGAGAAGAGAAGAGGAGGAGAGGGGGAAGAAACGACGAGCAGTAGCAGCGGCAGAAGAAGACGAAGAAGAAGAAGGCCCGAAGGGAGGAAAAACGAGTACATAGAGGCGCGCGGAAATGCTTTCAGCGAACGACGACCACTTATTCAAACACGCGTTGTTCGGCCCTTCAGTAGGAGGACGACCTACAACTAGAAAAGAAGAGGGGGGGAAAAAAGAGAGGCGGGAATAACGGTAAGAAGAAATATTATCGCCATCCCGCCGGCAACCACATGGTGATCATGAGATAAAGGCGGACACTCTCTCTCTCTCTCTCTCTCTCTCTCTCTCTCTCTCTCTCTCTCTCTCTCTCTCTCTCTCTCTCTCTCTCTC